TTTGCTTAAACTCCACTACTGAGAAGAATCAGGTGACACAGGGAGAAGGGATGTGTGTTCCCCACAGACAACCACCTCTGAGTGGCATCTCTTTCCTCTAAAAGGAGAAGCTCAGCCAATGCCAACAAATTTGCCTTAATGAGAAATGTGTCCTTTTGTAATACTTGTTTTATTGCCCACCAGAAAAAACAATGCTCAATCTTACTAATTTTACTGAACTTATTTCCTACCTTTGATTCAACTTCTCCCCATTTTCATCACAATGAACATGGTTTAGTCCTCTGTTTGAGGGTTCCCATCTGGCTTACTGCATTTATATTTAGCCATCTTCTTATGCAACATTTCCTCCTCTCTACCAAAGTGATGTTTTGAAATTATAAGATACAAATTATTCAGCCACTCTCTTTTGAAAATACTTCAATTGTACTTCATTGCCCTCACATTCTTCAGAGGTTAATTTTATGTGACAACTTGACTAAACTACAGAGTGTCAAGATACTTGACTAAATATAATCAATGCTTGTGTAGGTGAAGCTATTTCCAGATGTGATTATCATTTGAAATAATGGCCACAGTAAAGCAGATTACCCTCTTCAGTGTGTGTGGGCATCATTCCATTTATTGAAAACCTGAATGGAGCAAAAAGTGGAAGGATACAGACCTACCTTCAAGAGGTATACAAAAAGAAGATGAATTTAGGGATTCAAATTTCCAATTTAATCCCCCAAAATTATCTGAAGCTTCTATAAATGTCCTGAAAGAGATCCTTATGTCTTGAAGCTTCATGGTTGAGGGTTCTGAAAATAAAACATCAAATATTATCTTGCAGTTGTCTGAATTACAATGCAAGTTGAATCTCCATCCTCCAAAAGTGTCCACTGTTAAATGGAGGGTATTAATTGGGAAAGAATTGGATCCTCTAAATTGGGATAGAGATGGATGAGAATAGCTTGGTGAATCTTGGGCAATGGAGCACCTAAATTTTTTGTATTTTTTTTCCCAGTGGAAGAGTACTCCCAAACCTTGTCTGAAGGGAATGATCAATCATTGTCTGAGAGAATTACAGTGGCCTCCATACAAGACAGTTGGTTTGCAAAGCAATACTGGTTCTCCTCAAAGTTCATCCCAACACCCCCTGTGAACATATAATTAGACTAAAGTACTAGCAGACCCCTAAAATTAAAACATTATTTTCTCACATAATTACAGTTAGTCCTCTGTACCCATTAATTATTCTCCAATGAATTCAATCAACCAGAATCAAAATCTTCTTTAAAAAATTGCTCTTGTACTAAAAATGTACATATTTCTTCCTTTTGTTATTCCTTAAGAAATAAATGCACTGTAACAACTATTTACATTGTATTCATATTAGATATTATAAATATAGTTTAAAGTACAGTAACTTTCAAAAAGATATTTAAGAATCTGTGGGGTGTCTAGGAGGAGTCTTGGTGCCAAATCATATGGATACAAAATGTGACCATATTTGAGTTTTTAATTTTTACAGACAGAAATCCAGGGAACATGGGATATATGGTAATGGATAATCCAGCTAAAGAATAATGGTAGAAGACATTAAAAAAATGAATGAGGCCAACAGTATTGACATGGGCCCACTAAGCAGAGATTCTGGAATTAATGTTGCTATTTACATAGGTTTAAAAAGGTCTCATGGTTTGTTTCTTTGGTTGGCTGGTTGGTTGGTTGGTCAGTTGGTTGGTTGGTTGGTTGGTTGGCTATCTGAGTTATGGACCAGAAGATGGCTGACAAGTTGGAAATGTGAGCTGCCTTTGTTTAAGTGACAAGAACTCAAATGCTTAGAGAGAGACTGACATGTGAGAGTTGATTTGTCATTTAAGATTCACACACCATTCTAGAAAGGTCTAGAAGACACACCTTTCACCATGACCATAAAAAATAGATATGTGAATGGAGACTTAGTGTCTTTAAAGAGCTCAGTAAACATTCTTCTCTGTGGACCAGAGTTTATAGAGAAAAGTAGTCAGGGAATTTTAAAACTTAAATTCAATTGTATCCTGGGTGTAGGCAAAGAATTGATGTCATTTGAACATCAAAGGTAAAGTGAGTGTAGTTACTACTATGGACAATAGGGTCAAACCAACACTCAGAACACTCTGGCTTTGTCTGATTTATCATGATATAACTGGAAGTAAAATAAACAAGATGCCTACTAAACTCTTACTTGATCTATATTAGCAGAAAATATTTGCTCAGGTGAATGAAACTCAAATCTGAATCATAAAAACAGGCAATCATGGTCCCCCAATTGTTTCACATACTTGTGCCAATTTACAGACTCAGAATACCTTGAATTAAGGGGAAGCCACATCTGCCTAAGGAAGGACTCAGGAATACTACTGAACATTTATATGGTTAATTATTTTCCCACTTTTTCTCAAAGGGGCATATAGTCTCCTACCAGGGTCACTGCACTGGGGAAAAGGAAAAAAATAAGACCTTATTGGGAATACAAGACACTGGCTCAGAGTTGATACCAATTTTAGGATACATAAAATGTCGCTGTGGTCCGCAAGTAACAGTAGGGATTATGGAATTTAGGAGATTGATAGAAACTATCTCACAGTGGACCCAGTGTTTCCCTAATCTTATTCTGTGATTATTTCTCAAAGTTCAGTATACATAGTTGGAATTGATGTGCTTGGTGGCTGACAGAATATCCATAGTTGTTCACTGACTTGTAGAGTGAGGGTCATTATGTTAGGCAAGGCCAAGTGATGCCATTATTGCTGCCTCTGCCAGGAAAATTGAAACTTCAGGCAAAACTCCTGGAAGGGTTGCAAGGAATAGTTCTTCTGGGGACTTGAAGAATGCAGAGGTCATAATTCCCACAATATCTCATTCATCTCACTTATGTAGCCTGTGCAAAAACAGCTGAATCTTGGACAATGAGGCAGAGGGTTATTATAAACTGAAGCAGGTGAGACTCCATTTTCAACTGCTATACTAGATGTGATTTCATTGCTTGAGAAAATAATTTATCTCCTTGTACTTGATATACAGGTATTGATCTGTTTTCCCTCCATCCTTGTCTCTAAGGCAACATGAAAATCAGTTTTCTTTCAATTGGTGAGGCCAGTAATATGGTTCCACCATCCTATGTCAGGGGTATGTCCACTCTTGATTCTGATGTCATAATTTAACATTGAGTGACCTCAATTACATTTTCATATCATAGGTGATTACATTAGTCTATTATATTTATTATGTTATGCTGACTTGACCTAGTGAACAAGAAGCAGAAACTACACTAGACTTATTTTTAAGGCATTTATGTACCAGAGCCTGGCAATAAACATGAAAGAACAGGGGTCTTGCCAATGGTGTAAGTCAGATCAAGATACTGCTTCTAAATTGAAGAATAAGTTTCTGTGTCTGGCCCCTCCTACAATCAAAAAGTTCCTGGATAGAGGAGAATTTGGCTGCTAAGCTGAAATATTGGTCTCTCATGCCCTCAGCCTGGGACTTACACTCTCAGCTCCCCCGTGTCTCCAGCTTGCAAATGGCAGATGGGGGTCTTCTCAGCCTCCAGAAGTACATGAACCACTTCCCATAATAAATCTCTTCACACATTTCCTGCCTTCCTCACTTTATGTCACAGTTACTTCTTTCCATCATGTTAGAATTTATCACAATGTATTATAATTCACTGATTACTTGTCAACATGGATTTCTTTATAATACTAAAAACACATAAGTCTTTGCCTTCATAATTGTATCTGTATCATCTAGCAACCCTACCTGTATGTAGTAGATTCTCAGAGAATGTTTGCTGCATTTACATAAATTGAACTTATATAATATAATGTCTTGGAATGGATGTTTAAATTATTTGGTAGCTACGAATAGAATAAAATGATTAGGCAGGGTCATACTTTTGTACGTGGTTAAACTGGAGTTGGGAGACTGAATTTCATTTAAAAATCTCTCAGTAGCATTATAAAAATGAATCGAGGATTTTTATAAGTAAATGTAAATTGAGAAAGCCATATAAATATGTTGTAGAGAACTTTAACATCTACGTTTGCCTTAGCAGAGTATGTCTCTGTGGTGTAAAATACCTAACTAATGAAAAACTTAATATGAATAGTTTTTTGTTTTCCTTTTACTATTCTCTACTTTCTCTGTGTGTCTCTCTCTGTGTGACAGTCAAACTGGACAGTCAACTTAATTGGCTTGAGAACCACCAAAAAACTAGTAAAACACACTTCTGGGTGTGTGTGGATAAAGTGCCTTTGGATACACCTAGCCCCTGGAATCTTCTCTGGTTTGTCTTGCTCAGCCGCTCTTATGGCTGTGTCTAGATGTCCCTGCAAAGCCTCATGCAGTCATAGGTGAAGCTTTTTCAGAGGTGGCAGGATCTAGAGTGTGTGACACTGGGATTGATTCACTGTGCAATGCTAGACTCAAGGGCACCAGGATTAAGGGTGTGAGTGCTACCTGCCCTAAGTAGTCTGGATAATATATAAAGGATAGAAAGAGTTGTGGTCATCCCTTGTTGCTTTGCTACCTTCTGCCTGCCTTGAACTGTTCCTCTTCTAAGATGCCATCTTGCCTTGGAGCCAGACAATTATGGACTGAAACTTCTACAAACTGGGAGCTAAATAAACCTTACCTCTTTTAACTTTGGGTGTCAGGTATTTTGTCTCAGCAACAGGAAAGATAACTAAGACAGCTTCCCAGGCACCATGAAGTGTTCAGCTTTGCTCCACCACACTCTCCTGTCATGATGTCCTACCTTGACGCCAGCTGATCATGGACTGAGTGCCCTGAAATCTAGACCCAAAGAAACCTCTCTTCCTTCAAGCTAATTGACCAATATTCCCCCTCCCCTTCTTTCTCCTCTGAATATGTTACTTATTTAGCAATAATTAGAACTCCATGTAATTATAAAAAACAATACAAAGCACTTCATCTATTTTTGCATACCAAACTCTTTTGCACAATATCACAGCCAGGATACGGACACTGAAAGAGTTGAGACAGAATCCCATGGGCACATGAAGCACTCCAGACTGACTCTTTCCTGGTCTTCTCACTGAAAGAGCTGGCTTGTGTGTTTTCTTCTGTTCCCATTGCTTCATGTTTCTATCTCTATATCTGAGAAAAATGAAGGGAAGAGAAAACATAGAATTAACCATCACACATATCTTGACGCCTCAGTCTCTGGCCTATTGTCCTATTCTCCATCTTTCACAATCACTTTTGGCTTTCTTTGGGGATAAGGCCCATGGTATATATTCAGACTTAGCAAAGAAAAAGAGACAATATGTATCTACTCCATCTCTCTGAGGCAGAAGTCTCCATTTCCTTTCCTTTTCTATTTTAATTCGCCTACTTCACAACTTTGTTCCTATAATCTAGTCAACTTTCTTTTCTCTTTTTTTTCAGTACTAGGGATTGAACTCATAGTTTCACACTGACCTATGGCCCAGCCATTTAATTTTTAAAATTTTTATGAGTACATATGATTACTTTCATTATGGGGAATTGGTACCTATACCTAACATACCTTAGTTCTTTTTACTTCCTCTTCCCCTCCATCCCCTCCCTACTTCTGTCTCTTATCCACTTTCCTATGTGTACAAGATCTATTTATATATTTCCTATTATGTATCTTCTATTTTGTTCTTTAAATTATTTAAACTTTGAATTTTGCATATAAAAATATGTGATATTTAACCTTGTATGTCTGATTAACATGGTAGATACAATTATGTTGCATCCATTAACTTACAAATGAATCGAATTTATCTTTTTTATGTCAGATTAGTGCTCCACTATTTGCATATACACCACACTTTCTTTATTTATTTATTTTTTGCTTAAATTCTTTTATTGGTATATTTTAGGTATACAATACATTTACATTTATCATTGGGTGCTTGTACCTGTACATGATGTATCTTGGTTCTTATTGTTTCCCCGTTACCTGTGAGCCCTACACCCCCTCCCCCCTTCACTATTTACATACTTCTTTTCCATTTTTTTTCTTTTCTCATAATTTTTCCTTTCCATTCTTTCCTTTCCTCATCTCCTCCCACCACCCCTACCCCTTTGGACCATTGCCTATTTCAAAGTATCAATTATTAGTTATTAATCCTTTTAGACCTTCTTTACACTCTCAGTTTCTCAAACTAGAGAAACTATTCGGTATTTACACATGGGTGTCTCATTTATTTCACTTAAGTGTATGGCCTCAATATGGATCCATTTAGCTATAAATGACATTAGTTTCTCATTCTTTATGGCTGAGTAGTACTCCATTTTATTAAAAAAAACCACACCTTTATCCAGTTTCAAGTTGATGGGCACTTGGGCTGTATCCAAGCTTTAGCTATTACAAACTGTGCCACAATAAACATGGGTACACATATATCTCTGTGGTATGATTCTTTTAATTCTTTTGGGAAAATACCAAGCAGGGGAATAGCTGGGTCAAATGGAACCTCTAGCCCTAGTTCTTTGAGGTATCTCCATACTGATTTTCATAGTGGTTGCACCAGTCTGCACTCCAACCAATAATGGAGAAGGGTTCTTTTCTCTCCACACCCCCGCCAGTATCTGTTATTGGTTGATCTCTTCATAGCAGCCATTCTTTCTGGGGTGAGGTGGAATTTCAGGTTTATTTTCATCTGCAACTCACAAATAACCGTGGTGTTGAACATTTTTTCATATATTTATTTGCTGCTTTTACTTCTTTCTCTGAGAAATGGCTGTTCATTTCACATGCCCATTTTTGAATCGGGTCTTTGAATTTGGGGGGTTGATTATTTTCAATTCTTTATATATTCTAGATAGTAGCCCTTTGAGTTACAGCTGTTAAAATTTTTTCCCACATTGTAGGTTGTCTTTTAGCTCTGTTGGTGGTTTCTTTTGCAGTGCAGAAGCTTTTTAATAAGATAAAATCTCAGTTGTTGATTCCTTCCGCTAGTTCCTGTGCTACTGAGGTTTTGTTCATAAAGTCTTTTCCTATGCCAATATCTTCAAGAGTTCTACGTAAGTTATCTTCCAGCAAGTTTAGTGATTCTGTCTTAATATTTATATATTTAATACACTTTGATCTTAGTTTAGTGCATGGTGAGAGATATGGGCCTAGCTTTAATATCTGACAGGTTGAAATCCAGTTTTTCCAACACCATTTATTAAATAGGCTATCTTTCCTCCAATGAGGGTGGTTGGCTCCTTTGTCAAAGATGAGGTGGCTGAGCATGTCTGGAGTTGTTTCTGCATCTTCTAATCTATTCCACTGATCCTCAGGTCTGTTTCTTTGCCAGTTCCATGCTGTTTTTATTACAGTAGTT